CAGCTTATACATACCTGCTAGGATGCATAACCAGGAAATATGAAAGTACAGTGATTTAACACTCTTATTACCCATCAATCTTTCTAAATTGAACACATCATAAGAAACAGTTTTGTTACCACTGACAATTACATAAAGCAAACAGATTCCTCTGAAATCAAAATAAAATCAGAATAACCTTTTCTGAGGCAGTGCCCAGCCCACACATGCTAAATATTGTTATGACAGTAACAGAACCGGCCTCTAGCTTGGCATTCCTGATGTAACAGTGGCCACAGCTATGCACTTCCACGGAGGTGATGCAGAGATGAGCTACCAGGTAGCTGACAGGGCTTTAGCTGAAGAGGATCAGACTGGACACCAGGAAAACAGGAATTCTTTAGGAGAGCAGCCCAGCACTGCATTCAGCAGAGCCACATAGGGCCAGCTCCAACAGCTGTAATATGATAAAAAGCCTCAATGAGTGTACATATGTTTTGGCAGGTAAATAATTTACTGATGTCAGTAGACAATGACAAACTGAGGACAAGCTGGGGAGGAAATAACATGTATTTGAAAATATATAAATCATGTAAATTGCTTTCTATTTATTAGCCTTGTAGGTAATATGGTAACTAAAACGGCGCGTGTTTCCTCATTCCAAAAATACTTGAGTGTTCCCTTGATCCATATGCTCTGAGCAAGTCAGTAACTTTACCTACTGCTCCTATAAAATGAAAATAGAGGAAAACTGTTGACGACTTCTTAAACTCTTCCAGAAGTGGAATTTTAACCCTGTCACACTAATGTGCTATTGTGATAAAGCCAAGATGATACTTTAAAAATTAGACTGTTCATTATTTTATTTACTTTGATCTTTGCAATTGATGGGAAATGAGAAAGTTAGTTAAGAAAATAATTTTCTTCTTTCATAAAAATAAAACAAGATCAGAGAACCGTTTGTTTTTTATCACTGTCAGCAAACTTTTCACATACCATATAGTTTTCTAAAATAAAGCGTAAAAACATCTATTTTCTCAAAAATTATTGTTTTCTCTCCCAATTCCCAGAGTAAGGAATCCTATATCCCACTGTATTCACCACAAATCACAGGTCCCCTTAGTATGAAAATGGTTATGGCTCACAGTAATATAAAACTTTCACTGGCAATCTCTCAATTTGAACCATGAATGGAAATCTGAGCCTGCACTGGAAAAATAATTTCAGTTTCTTCTTGTGGAAAATACAGTATAGCTTTGGAAAAATTGTCAGGTATTTTGGTTGGGGCTTTTGGGGGGATGGTTTATATATAGAGAGTGGAAATAATCTTTATGTTCAGATTTGTACAGTTCTCAGCACAGTGTCACTTTATTCACAGCCTGGGCTTACAAACATTACAGCAACGCAAGAAACAAATAACAAGCCATACACCACCATAGAAAATTCAGTATATCCAGCACCTCACCTGGCTAGAGGTGAGATAGCCTGAATTGGAAGCCATGCAGGCATATCAGCAGAGCACTGCAAGCCAAAGATCCCCACAGGGATCAGCAGCTGCAGCACAGCCCTGCACCAGCCTGCCCATGCAGCTGCCAGGGGCTCACATCCCACTGGTTCAGAGCCTGGAAGGTCGGGTCTGCCTGCAGAAAACTCCCTGGGAGCACTCACAGATATTCAGAGCAGCACCAGCACAGAAGCCCCAGTTAAACATTTCTCATTCTTCACATGAGCAATTCAATCCAGGTCCACTTGTAAGCTACAGCTACTCCATTCTGCTTCTGTGTAGCAAACCAACCAGCATTCCCTAGAAATTCCCTAGAAAGACTGCACCACTCTGGCTGTTAAAAAGTAGAACAAAAGAACTGAACTTTGCACCATTACTATGCCAATTTTTCCAGAGCTTCAGATCACTGCAACTCAGAGGAATAGGTCATACCTTTTTGAAGTATTCCATGTGTAATCTCAAAGGGAAAACAAATTCCAAGACAAAAGGCTACGTTAAATCATCTTTTGGGATATGAGAGAAATAAAAGGTATCACAGAAGCCTTTAGTTTCTTAACATCAAGTACTAGGAATTCCAAGTCAGAATTCACAGATTAAAAGAAAGCAAATCAGAGTTACATATGGAAACAGACTGCTACATTCTCCAAACAATATTAATTCTGTTTTGTGACAGCACAATAAGCAGAATGAATGCATTAAAGGAACTACCAGATTTTTAGTCATAAAAATTAAGTGCCTTAGACATAATTGTGTGCTGTTTCGTGGTATTACTGGATGCAAGTATAAGAACAAAATCAGACATGTGAATTTCTTGATCCAACTTCCCAAAAAAACATTCAGTGGCACAAAGGATGACTGTATAATCCATTGCTGGTGTAATATCCCCCTCACAGAGATCTAGTGCTGGCTACAGACAAAAACTACAACTTAGGTGTGGTCACAAATCACCATCTGCTATTTAAATAAATATATTCATAAATGCATCCAACAGCTGAGGGAGGGAAGAAGATTTCAGTCACGTGGAAGGAGCTTGGTAGATAAATCCTGGAGATCTGCCACTCTACAATGCAGGAAACTGCAGCATAATCACTATTTCCTTCAATGCTTCTTAGCTGTTCCAAGATCACTGCTCAACAAGGCAACTCTAAATGTCATATATTAAATGCCTTGTAAGCCACAGACCTGCCAGGATGACATTTTTAACTGCAGAATTGAGTCAAATTAAGGTAGCTCAGTGGCAATCGGGACAAAGGAAACGCCAATTCTGACCAGCTGCTTTTAAAGAAGTCTATGAGAATAGATAACAGCCAGCAGTTAGAGGGGCTCACTGCCTACCAGAAATGGAAGTAACATTCATGCCTTCCCTCCCAGTGTACAGGGACTTTCTGACTCCACCTTTCAAACCCAGGCAGAAACTGCAGCAAAACTCAGAGCAGCTCAAGCCACCTAAAAGCCACAGCACTGCATTCTAAACAGAAATGCCTTCAGAGGGCTAATCTGGCATTCAGATGTTGGGCAGGACCCACTGTAAACAGTATGTTTTATGTAAGCTTTAAAGCTTTAACCAAAACCATACCCTGTTTTCTGCACTCCCACAATCTTGGATTGCTTAGGTCACTGGCACAAAATCCAGCTTTCCTCAGCACAGTCAGCCCCATGGGTCAACTTGATTCCTTTGAAATATTATTAGCTATAGTTTCTGAAATTGTAACCCCATAACTGTCTTCCACAAAAATGTTTGAGAAGCTCCCTAGAATGAATCCAGGCTTTTTTATTTTCATTTTCTTTTGCTGGTTTTGTCTTTATGTATGAAGTTTTTCCTTCTTAATTTTACTGTGAATTTAAAGAGGCTGAAAAATCATTATTATAATGCATGATACAAGAAGCAGGACCTATATTCTCATCTTAACTTTCATACACACACTTCCCACAGTATTTTCTAGAAACCTCTAGATTTCTAGAAAATCTCAACTCACCTTCAGACACAGAGCCATAAGGCAGGAATGAAGTCTTACAAATTAGACTTCAGCCTGAGCCAGCTGCTTTCTCCTAGCATTATTCCCTTTATGACCATCTGTCCCACCTGCTAATGTATTTTCCCCCTCACCCAGCCTCTCCACTACAACGATTTGCCATTCCAGCTGACACGCAAATACCAATGGAAAGGAACCTGGACTAAATCCAGCTTTGTGCCACTCGGTATTTGGAGCTTTGGTAAGGCACCTGCTTGACTGCTGGTATAATTACTTCTGCCTTAAGCCTGTTTTAGCTTATGCCAAGTTCACCTGTGACCCAAACACAAGAGTTTGTTGTCACTCTGCCTTCCTTCTGGACTGCCTCAGTGTATCAAACATAGTTCAGTTGGTTACACAAGGGTCTCCTCCTGTACAGCAATTCTTGTTTGCAAATGCCCCCAGCACACTCTGCTGAATGAATCTACTGAGATCTGTTGATTGAAGGTGAATCCACAAAACAATCCTTGCACTCCAGACTTGTGGTTTCAAAATTGGCTGCATGCCTGGTTTTGTCAGCATTTTTCAAATCAGATCTTCTGGCAGAAAAGTCATCCTGAATTTTCCTCCTTGGGCAGAACTGCCAGAAGAAATGAGGAAGAGAAGAACTGGGAAGGGCCGAGAATGAGGAAATAGAGATTAAATGGCATGCTACTACATGGTGAAATTCTGTAGTCATGGATTCTCAAGAATTCCTTGCTGTTTTCAATGAGACCAACATCAGAATAAACCTTATCAAAGAGTCAAATATATTTACTGCAGCATTAATTTTTCATATCTGTTTAAAGCTTGAGAACTGAAGGGAAAATAATTACTTAAGCATAGTTCAGAAGACTGCACAGCTGTGGCACTGCCCAAAAATGTCAGGAAGAATACAACACTTACAAAGCATATCAGTCTAATTTCATCTCATGTACTGCTGACAATAGTCAGAAATAACAGGAACAGAACTGCTGAAAAAATATGAGTTTTTCTGAGTGCTACTTTAATATTTCTGCAAAATATAGATAAGGTTCTTTTAAAGACTGTAAATCGTGGAATGAGAGAGAAAAAGAATTACAGATGTGTGACAAAGAATAAAGACAAAAGATGTATAAAAGGCAGGAAAAAAGGAAATTAGGATGGATGTAGAATTCAAAGGAGCACATGCTGACAGGTTCTGCACTTTTAGCAGAAAACTGGAAGCTGACATCTGTATCCATACAGTTTTAAAATGAGCTCTTAGTTACTAGCACTGCATTCAGGAAGGAGACAGAGAAAAAGAATGGTATTTTAGCTGAGCTCATTTCTAAGCATAAGATTAAAATAAAAAGAGAGGGATGCAATTTCATGTCAGCTCCTGGCAGCTGCTCAGCATTCCTGACTATCACAGCCCTGTTTGCTGTGGAGTGCTGATAATGCTCCAGAGCTGCAGTGCTTTGGAGCCCTTCTGTGATCCTCAGCTCTGCAACTTTGGGACCCGATGGAAAAAAAAAAACCTTTTTCTGAAGGCCATTCACACATACCTTGAAAGATTCGGTCATTTGCTTTCCTGTTTCTCCTGAATATCCTCCTCCCGTGCACTCATTCTGGCAGCCCTAGAAAAAAATAAAATCAGAGCAAATCAAATTCGGTGCACATTTCAGGAAAGCTGATACACATTCAGTTCATTCATTTCAGGGGCAGATTGTATTGAATCATCAGACCTTGCCATCAGCAAATACATTAGCAAGAACTTTGAGATGAGTTCTTAGCACAACCTTCCACCTTCTCAGTTCTCAGTTTTATTTCAGTCGCTTTATTTTGTGCAGCTGCATTTCAGGGCTTCATATATGTAACATATATATACACACATAATATCCTAGATTAGATTATCAAACTCTGTAGTGTAGAAGGTTATGGCCAACATCACAAGTTTTTTATTCAGAGCTGAATAAATAAATTTGGTTTTTACTCAATTCCATCAGAGTCAAGCTTCTCTACTAAAGCATCTGCCTAATAGGTTTGGTTTTGCCTTTAAGAGAAGGTTCAGTAGGCAGAATCGAAGAAAAAAGAAAGCATTGGTTTTGTTAAATCCCTCATTAAACAAAGACAGTAATAAGGAATTATTCACCTATATTAATAAATAATGAGAATATTTTGCATTATCTGCAATGTGGAACTTCAGGCTTCTGCAAAGGAACTGGGAGGGCAAAGAAATAAAAAAAAAAGAAAAGGAGTGCTAATTCCAGGCATCCTTCTGTTCAACAACAGAGGGATAAGAGACAGGGGGAAGCCATCTACCTAAAACCAAAATTCCCAGTTCCCACAGCATCACATGAGCATCTCTACAGACCCTCCTGCAGTACCTGTGCCTTCCCTGCCAGTTACACCCAACAGCACAGAACACAGGAATAAAGACATCCCTAACAGGGCTCCTTGCTTCCCAGCAGCCCTCAAGGAGGAGCTGAAAAAGTGAAGTGGGTGCAGAGGCTTGGGAGAGGGAAGAGGGCACCAGCAGCAAGAGTTTGGGGTGATGGGCCATGAAAGAGGACAGCCAGGATGATGGCATTAGGGTGCACAGCTGGAAGGATGGACAGGACTTGGTGGCTGTCTCTCAGCCTCGATGCATCTCAGGTCCAGATGGGAAAGCCCCAGATCAAAGGTACAATCCCCTGATGAAAAGGTGCAGAGAAAACCTTTCGTGGTCAGCCTATGAGATCCCAGGGGGCAGGCTTGTGTTAGAGACACAGCAGCCACCTGTCCTGCAGCAGCCACCAAAATGTCCAAGGCTGGGACCACATGGACCACAGGCTTACACATAAGGCAAATAACATGATTTTTTCCCCTTTACAGATCTTGGGAATATAGTAAAAAAAAAAAAAAAAAAAAAAAAAAAAAAAAAAAAAAAAAAAAAAAAAAAAACAGTATTTTCAGTGGACCTTCCACAGATCACAGCCTTGCTACCAACAAAAAATATAAAAGGCAAACTCCCAGCCACAGCAGATCTCACTTCCTCTCCCCTTCCCCCAGGGAGCCCCCTCCTGCTGCCTCTTCTCAGCTCTAACCCTTCTGTTCCTCTTTTTTTGTAGCTCTCTGCAGCAAGGCAGGCAATCGTGGCTACAGGACCGTCCCTATGCACTAAAAGAGAATTTGCCAAGAGAGATCATAAATCTCTTTACAATATCCTTCATTAAAAACATGTTTTCTTTGCCTTAAAGCTTTATTTGATAGAAAGACAAGACTTTGGCAGTGGCAGACCCAAGCAGGACTAAAGTGTTACTGTATAATAACAGCTCCTTGCTTTACCTGTAATTTTTCAAACACTTCCAAACCCACTGGTAAATTCCTAGAAAGCCTTCATGACACCATCGGTTGCAAGCAGTGAAGCATTCCACAAATGAATGGAGGCAGCTGATTTTTCTCTGTACTGCAATGAATTAGGATGGAGAGCGTGCTGGTCACCAGCTAACAGGATGGGAATTGCCAGCTCTGGAAGAAAAATATCTGAGAGAGCTCCAGCTCCACTGCTGCCTTTTGTCTAATATCCACTATGCCAAGATGGATTTGCTAACAATAATTACTGGTGACAGCAAATACTGACAAGTACTCAACCATTATGCTTCAGTTTCTTCCTGTTGCTGCTTCATGAAGTTGCCCTAAAGCAATAGCTGGCATCAACACAGAGGACTGAAGCTGGATACAGCTTAATATTCTCTTTCATGATCTTTTTTAAAGATACCAAGATTGCAGGTGAATTTGAAGTACAGACCACCTACAGGGTGGCTCCATCGTGTTGCACTTCAGTTCAAGACTACCACTGAACTCAATGAAGTCAACAACCCCATTTCTGGGCACATGCCTTGGGGCCAGTCCTGTTCTCCATGAAGTCATTATTTTTTACAGATTTAACTCGTCTTTAAAGCAAGTAACTAACTGCCCTTGTTAACCACACCAAGATTAAACTGAGTTAATCCCTCAGCACTAGAGAGAAATACCACAATTACTTTCTAATTAATGGAGTCATATTTTAATGGATCCATGATCTACAAATCTGAAACACATTGCTAAGTGCAATATGGAAAATTGCTCCCTGTTTTAGTGCCAATACTGCCAAGGGAGATATTCCAAGCATAAATTTGCCCTTTGTGTTTAATAGTGTGGTAGATTTAAAACTGCCCCCATTAAAACATTGATGTTATCCTGAAGATACACTTGAGCCACTGGGTCAACAACTTCTCAAAAGTCATTCATGACTGTCTCAGGTAGCTGTACAATTGCACAAGCATGACATAATTTCCTATGTTGTGCTGTAGAGATACCATTTTTTTTTTCTCTATAATATTTGTAACTGCTTTTTCTAAGTAAGAAACAGAAGAGTATTTCAAAGTTTTCCTTCTAAAATACTGAAAACACACACTGATTTTAACATTATGTAAAGCCTGTATGAGAATGAGGTGTAAAATCTTACAATAGATTAAACTTTGTTAAAAAATGGGGTTTATATGTCATTTTATCACTGTGAGCTACTACTGAAAGAAAGACCTCCTGGGAAGTAGCTCTGTTATTACCTTTACTGAAGATCTCAATGCTCTAATGACCATTACAAATCCTTTAGCACTGACAGAAGTAATCACAATACACTCAGCTGGATAACAGTGCTCCCTCACATCAGCCCTTAGTTCTTGCACAAGGCAGAGGTAAAGCCTCAGGTGGGTATTTGTGCATGTAACACTTACTGGCACTTTTGGCAAATCTTAGGCTTAACAGCTGTCACCTGCACTTCTGCTAGAGCCTTCCCAAACCTGCACTTGGTCCTCAGGCTGCCTTACACACACATATCTCCTACATCTCCTAGCATCACGATGCTGCAGTCCATGCTCTCCCTGCTGGCTTTGGCACACCTCCTCTACTTCTAATGCAGTCAGATCACTCAGCCTTCTGCTACAAAACCATGCCCATCTCCTCCCTAAACTCCCCAGGCTTCCTAGACTGCATGAGTGTGCCTCAGCTGTTCCTGTGCCTTCACACTTGAGGGCTTTTGAGACACTCGGCAGAAGCATCAGCATCTTTGCTCTGGTTTGGGGCTGTCTGTTCTATGAACTGCAATTCCACCAGGTGCTTTGTCAAACTGCTGGGGTTTAGCTACTCCACCTCCCTGGCTCATCTTCAGTTATGAAACAGGAACTGAAGAATACCAGAAGCTTCATCACTGTGAACTTAAGCTGTAAACTGCATTTCTTTATAGTGTATGAGATCATTTATTTTAAAAAAAAGTCACCAGTTCTCCAACAAACTTTCCAGTTACCTCTATATGTTATGTATTTGTCACTCTTTCTCATAGAAAACTAATTCTTCATTCAGTTCTCTGTTCCCTTAATTTTCCTTGTTATTTGAGAACTCTTCTGACTACCAGGAAACATAAAATTTTCCCTAGCAGAAGGCAAGACTAAGGAAATAAACTGAAAATGTTGTCTACAGAGCTGACACTTTCAGCTAGGAAATCACACTGGATGCTTTTCAAAACAACTCAAGTTCTGCAGCTTCATTAAACTCTTAGTGGTCTTTTTTGGTTTTATCAGTCACCTGTGTGAAGTCCCCCACAGACAGCTCCAATGTTTCCACTCTGAGGGGGATTTTCACAAGTAGCACCAGTGCCCTGGTGGAGTACTACCAGTGACAGGGAACACCTGGAAACCTAATACCATGCCCATGAAAGAATTGCAGACAGTGCATTTTTGGGCAAGCGTTGGCTATTCATGGAGGTCAAGAACCTAAAGAAATCAAATAAACCACAGATAAACAGCAATGACTGCACAGAGCTCCTCCTACCAAAGCAAACCCATCTCCTGCTATAAACACCACCCTATCTTGTAGCAGTCATCAGGCCCCAGAAAAGATGGATCAGAAATTTCCTCTCAGTCAGAAATTGTATGAAAGACAATTTTTAACAAAGAAAGTCCTTTCTGAGTCATTTCTCCAAGCTAAAACAGTTTCTTGCTGCTTTTTCCCCATGCCTGCTTCTAGCTACAAAGTGTCTAAGAAATATTTCATGCTCTAATTTGCACTGGAAAGATAATGAAATTAGGGCACTTGCCAGATTGCAGGAATACAGCAGATCAATAAATCCAATATGTGACTCACACTCTGGCACAGGTAAGCCAAACCAGGTGTGTGGTGGCAGGTACCAGAACTGCCCTCCTGCTCCAGGTATAAAACAGAATCCAATGTGCACAAATGCCATAGATTTTGTGTATTGCTACCATGACTTCAAAACAGCTTTTATCTGTCCCTACGAAATGTTAAGACAATTTGGCAGCCACATCACATAAAAGATGAAAAAAATCCCACTAATAATGTTCACAGCTTAACAAAAAAAAAAAAAAAAACAAACAAACAAAAAAAACCAAAATATAAAACCCCACACACTGTCAGGCAGAGAAGCTGCTGAAGAGCCAAGTGATATAATATAACTTTTAGTACCAACTAAAATGTTTTTATTTAAAGACATCTGTGAAAGATTTCCATAGTTTGAGAAGCTCATATTTATGGAAGCCAGGAGCCAGGCAGGTTTACCTCAGCTCTCATGGGAGTAGGTGAATGACATTAAAGCATTTTA